ATGTACAATCACTTATTCTATTACATACCAGACTACATTTAGGAAGTTTTACAGCTTACTCTATTACATAGCGAGTTACATTCAGGAAAGGTTTCACAATACTCGTAGCAAACAGACTTCTCAGCAATTGTATATATATATATATTTTTATCAAAGATCCATAATAAGCAGAAAAGAGAACTTAGCTTTAAACTAAGGCAGGGCTGTCATTTGGATTTAAAGCTGTTCTTTTCAAGATGAATACATATAGAAATACTTATGGTTATGCATACAAAGTCGGGTTAATATACACATATATTTTTTGCTCTGACAGCTATGTGGGTCTGGAAACAATGGTACCTCAGTAGCAACAAGCCCATCTAGCAAGCAAATTGTTTTTTCTAATATTATCCTCCAATAAAATAAGCCAGGTCTCTTTAAAGCAGTGGCTAATTCTAGTGCTGGAGGGAGAAACACACAGGATGAGCCTGGAGGGTTGTATAATATCTGAAAATAAGGAAGTACTTGAAAAACTACAGCGATGAGAGTATTTAAAAAGGACACAGAGGGGCACCTGGGTGGCTCAGTTGGTTAAGTACTGACTTCTGATTTTGGCTCAGGTCATGATCTTGCTGTTCATAGGATCAAGTCCCATGTCAAGCTCTGCAATGACAGCATGGAGCCTGCCTGGGATTCTCCTTCTCTCTATCTCTCTCTCTCCCTCTCACCTCTCTCTCTCTCTCTCTCTGTCTCTCAAAATAAATTTTAAAAAAAGGATACAAAAGCCAACTGATAGAGCTCCTATTGGCCAAAGATGAAACAATTTGAACAACAAAATAAATAGAGTAGTGATGAATTATAACCCAGAATATAATATGAATATCTGAGATATATTTATAAAAATAAATTATTAAAGAAAGAAAGAAAGAAAGAAAGAAAGAAAGAAAGAAAGAGGGGAGGGGAGCGAGGGGAGGAAAGAAAGAAAGAAAAGAAAGGAAGGAAGGAAGGAAGGAAGGAAGGGAGGAAGGGAGGAAGGAAGAAAAGAAAGAAAGAAAGAAAGAAAGAAAGAAAGAAAGAAAGAAAGAAGAAAGGAAGGAAGAAAGAAAGACTGAGAATAAACAAATCTCCCATGCAGAGAATTTCAAATAATTTTTGTAGATGTTCTGTTCTCACGTAGGTGGAGTATAATTATTCACTTCTTAAGGGTAGCTGCACATAGTGACCCTTCCAAAGATTTCAGTATAAAAAGGCAGAAAAGAAATAGTACAAAAACCTGACAAGTACCACCTTAATTCATGTGGTCCAGGTTCACATCATTAGTGATGTCATGTTGATAATATTTACCCTTGATGTGACATGATGAGAACGACACAGTACCTCTGTAGTTGCCACATAAAAACTCATAACCCTACTGTAATCATGGGGAAAACATCAGACATATTCCAACTAAGGGACATTCTACATAATGCCTGACCTGTACTTCTCCAAACAGTCAAGGTCATCAAAGACAAAAAGTTTCTTAGGAACTGTCACAGCCTGGAGGAGCTAACAGAGACATGATGGACATGATGACTATATGCAGCATGGTATCCTGAATGGGATTCTAAATGGAAAAAAGGCATTAGGTGAAAACTAAAGAAATCTAAATAAAGCATGGACTTTAGCTCACAGATTGTGTAATTATCATTTCATTCATTGTTAAAAATATAACATAACAATATCAAGATGTTAATAGTAAGGGATATTGGGTTTGTGGTGTACAGGATGTCTCTGTACCCCTTTGTAACTTTCTGTGGTCCTAAAACTATTGTTAAACAAAAAATTATATTGATAAATAGATAAAACTAGGATCAGTTATGTTTCAATAAAGTGTTAAAAATACAGAATAAAATTCTAGAAGTCCTGGAAAATATTTAGCATTTACAATCCATTGAATATCCAGGAATCATATATATACATATGTATGACACTAGCTGTTCATAACAAAGTCTTTCAATTATTTTCCAAATCTCCACAGAGAATCACGAGTTTTTTCAAGATAACTAAATAAATAATGACATTTACACACCTCTAGTCATGCATATTCATAATTCTTTCTTCATTCTGACCTGTGAGAGTAAAATCTAAATGCAAATGTCATGCTTTTCTGATTAAAGCATGCATAGTTCAAGCTCTTCAGTTATCAGATAAGTGTATTCCATCTTCTGGGAAAGTGCTAAATATGTTGTTCCAAATTATCTTTAGACATTTAAAATGGTGACTCCAGGGATCACTTCATTAGTAAAGACTTTTCTAATGAATTCAAAGGGATATTTTTGCACAATGAGTAAATGGAAAATGCTTACTTATCCTTTACCCAGGGAAAATAAACTGAGATACAGAGGTTGATATACAGTAATTCAATTTTCATCGAGTTTTTTACCTGTGTTGACAGGGTTGAAGAGGCCAAATTACTTGTCACATCACAATGATCCAGTTGGGATTTCATTTAATGAAGGGTGAAGCCCTCTTAAAGATTTCTGAGCAACTACAAAGTGGCAGTGTGAAGGCTCAGAAATTATCCTTTTCATTTAATGGCACATGTTATGGCTCTCTAATATAGTATGCCTGCTGGAAGTGTTTACCATAAGTCTATTCTGTTCACTACAAATTTCTGAAGGATTTTTAAAATTTTCTAAAATATTTAAATATTTAGAACAGGTCTTCAGTGAGTTGCAACTAAAATTTCAGTTGGGAAACCACCTATGAGCTGTTCTACATTCTTTGCAGCCAAAGTCAATTACCTAAACAAATATTTACCAACCACCTTGTAATAAAAATTCCTTTGCTGGGTAGGAAGTACGCATTACATAAACTATGAAATCAACAAAGAAGGTATACAGATGGCAAATAAGCACATGAAAAAATGCTTCACTCTGTATGTCACCAGGGAAATGCAAATTAAAACAACAGGGAGATACCACTATACATCTATTAGAGTAGCCAAAATCCAGAACACTGACAACACCAAATGTTGACTACCATGTGGAGTAACAGGAACTTTCAGTCTTTGCTGGTGAGAATACAAAATGGCAAAACCAGTATGGAAGGTGGTTTGGCAGTTTCTTACCAAACTGAACATATTCTTGCAATACAATTCAGCAAGAGTTGGAAACATGTCCACACAAAAACCTGCATGTGAATATTTATAACAGCTTTATTCCCAGTGCCCAAACCTAGAAGCCATGATGTCCTCCAAAAGATGAACAGATCAATAAAATGGTATATAGGGATGGTAGAATATGATTCAGAAATGAGCTACCGAACCATAAAAAGAGGAGATTTAAATGAATATAATTTAGTGGGAAAAAAGTAAAATTTAGTGAAAAGTCTACCTACTGTATGATCTCTCTATATGGCATTCTGGAAAAAACAAAAATTATAAAGACAGTAAAAAGTTCAGTGGATGCCAGGAGTTAGTGGGGAAAGAAGGATAGACAGGTGGAGCACAGAGGATTTTTAGGGGCAGTGAAACTACTCTGTGTGATGTTATAAAACTGGATATATGACATCATACATTTGTCCAAACCCACGAAATGTACAACATCAAGAGTAAACCCTAATGTAAGCTGTGGATTTTAGGTGATTATAATGTGTCATTGTAGGTCCTTCAATTATAACAAATGTACCACTCTGGTGAGAGATGTTGATAATGGGGAGGCTCTTTCTGAGTGAGAGTGAGGAGTATATGGGAAGTCTCTGTACCTTCTGCTCAACGTTGCTATAAACCTAAAACCGCTCTAACCGCTCTAACCATGTTTTATTTTTTATTTATTTTTATTTTTTTATGATTATTATTTATTTTTCAGAGAGAGAGAGAAAGAGAGCTCAAAAGGGGTAGGGACAGAGAGAGGGAGACACAGAATCTGAACAAGCCCCAGGCTCTGAGCTGTCAGCACAGAGCCCGACGCGGGGCTCAGACTCACAAACTGCGAGATCATGATGTGAGCCAAAGTCAATGCCTAACTGACTGAGCCACCCAGGCTTCCCTAAGGTGTATTTTTTTAAAAAGAAAGAAAAAAAGCACAGAACATTAATTTTTGCTGTGGTTATTTGGGTTAAATGACTCATTGGCACAGACATGCCATAGACTAATGATACACTGTCTATGATATGGTTGAAAAAAGATTCCCACAAGCCTTCTTTCCTTCAGACCAGGGTCTGCAACCATTTTTGGTGCCATTAATCCTTTTAACTCTGAACTCTTTCTCAGAAGAATGTTTTTCAGGCACAAAGTTTAAAAAAGAAAAGCAATTGTATTGATACAATCATCAAAATATTGTTAAAAAGAAATTTGTTACAGTAATATATATGCTATTTTATTAAGACATTAAATGATAATTCTTAGCAACAAACATAATAACTATTATATCCTTGAAGTAATCAGGAACATAAATATTGTTTCAATATATCTACAAAAACTATAATTTAATTTGAAAGTGTATGGGATTTCTAGGGATAAAATAGCAGATACTTCAAATACTGTGTTGTTATGTTTCCCTACTTTCATAACTGAAGACAAAGATAGATTTCATTTATGCTGCACTTCTTGTATTTCCTCTGACAGAGCAAGCTTCTCACTGAGAAAACTTGTATTCATTGCTCATCTTTCCTCTAATGGTCTTTCTCCTTACATCTCTACTGATTCCTACTTGCCCTTCACATCTGAGCATCAGTTTGTCTTCCATGGAGAAGCTTTCCTTAAGCCCTAAAACCAAAGTGGCAAATCAATTACTTCCTATACATGACCCTCCCCTAAATCCCCTGCCTCGCTCTCTTCTTATTCCTCAGTAGGTTTAGTCCTCTTTCACCTCAGTATCTCCAGCACTTAGAATGTTCCCTGGCACGTAGTAGTCACTCAATATTTGTTGAGTGAATGAATGGCTGATATCTTTCCACGTGTGCCCTACAATTCACAGCTGCTTCCTAAATGTATAATGTGATAATTCAAGAAGACAAAAGAGGAAAAAAAAAATCACCATGTCGTTATCAAGCTCTCTAGTAGGAAACACCCATTTAGATATGTGTATTCCCGCTCTTTGTACTTTACTTCAGAGTTAAGTCCAAACAATTATATACTAAAAATGGCAACACTGTGAAATCCACATATATCTTTATGTGCATTTTCTCTCTTTAATTTGGCTTTTACTCAAGGGTTTAAAAATACATCAAGAAATATAAAAACATTCAAACTCCTTGAAACCATAATTCTCCTTTTATAAAATCAAAGAAGCAACAATATAGAAAAAACCTTTCTGTGTGTAGATGATCATGGCCTTATGATTGATACCAGAAAAAAAAGAGAAAATAAATCCAGATAATACAGGAATGTTTGAATATAAGGAATATATAGATAGCAGAATGTGAGGGAGAATAATAAATTATTTCTATAAAGGATTTTCAATGAATAATTTTCTTATGTTATACTCTTGAGTGGAAAAAGCACAAAAAATTGTATACATAGGAGAAAGGCATTATATACCTATCTATCTATCTTCTATTTTTTTCATGTACTCATTTATTAACCTAACAAAATAAGAAGCATGTATAAATACAAAGAAATAGCACCAACATTTTTAATGGTCTTTGGTTGGTAGAAATACAGTTGTTTTTATCTTCTATGGGCTCCTCTTTAGAATTTTTTGAATTTTTTGAGTCTATAGTATTTTATAATGTGAAAATAAACTTAAGTCAGAGGCAGTGCTAAGATGTTTATGGGTCACATCTTTTTCACTGCTCCATTATTAATGTCATCTGGCTCTGAAATGGTGTCGCCTGAAAGAGATAATGAAAGTCTTGAGTTTACATATTAATTTACACATCGAACCCTTTTGGATGGAGCCCCTGAGGAAGAATTCCAGCAGAGGGTGTCTCTGAATGGCCAAAAGATGACATCAAAGCAGCTGCTTCACCATGTGTGTTAAACTAAAATGCGTACCCAGGAGATTCTAGGACAAATGGAATTCATGCTTCTATATCTCAAAGTTCCTAAACCATTTTTCTTATATCTGTTTCCCTTACCCTTTAAGACTTCAGTTTCTGAAATTGTAGAAGTCTTCTTTTCTATCCCTTGGTCTATGCTTTTAGATAATAGAGAGAATTAAAACTTATCAGAAGTGAAATTGAGCAAATGCTAAAAGCCTGGACTCCAGGTATTTCTGTATAACTGTGTCTTCTCTTGAGCCCATCTGCAATCTGATAGCCCATGAGTACTGAAATGTCTCTTTTGAAGATTTAAGATGTACTTAAACTGGGCTTATAATTACTGACTCCTGATAATTCCTAACTGAGAAATGGAAAAGATGTGAAACTTAAATCAATCCATCTGTAGAACTGTTCTCAATCACTGACAAATTGGGTAAAAGTTTTACATACAAAAACTAAAAAGCTACAGTTTGGTTGTTTGATAGAACATATCACAAAATATCTTCCCCTAGTAGGAAAGAGAAATGAGCTTTAGTTGTGGAATCAGATCAATAGATCAGTACAATGAGATCAGTGCAGGC